TACAATATCATTGGAATAAGAATTCAATTTGAACACAATGTCATTCGAATAAGAATTCATTTCGAGTGAGATATTACTCGAATAAGAATTCATTTCGAATGAGATATTGCTCGAATAAGAATTCATTGAATGAAAACGATAGATTATAAAATGTTTTTTTTCTACTTCATCGATTTATCTCTTCCAGAACTATTCCAACAAAGAGCTTTCAATACTACGAAATTATGAAAAATTGTTCGAATAAAGAGTCTCTCGAATTATTCCTATAAAAAATTATTCAAGTAAAAAATTATTAATCCGTGCAATGATATTATAAAATTGTTTGCGATAAAAGATGTCAACAGAACTGTTTGTTCACCGATTTAAGATCGATAGGAATCGTTGAGACAACATTATGTAAAATATGAACGCTGTCTGATCAAGCACCGACCTATTCTACTTACTTCTATTCCTATACTCGATCAACGCCTAATTGGGCGCGAAATTTAATCGTGTATTCAGTCGTGCTGATTTTTATTCGTATCGATCAAACACTCAAACGCTTGATAATGAACTTAACAAACTAGTGACCAAACTGATTTCGTTGTCGCGAGTATCATTTAGAAGAATAGGTTCAGGTTTCTCCAGTCAGAGTCGCGTTCAGATCCGTAGCGTTCCAGGATAATTCTTGCCTCAAATACCACTGCGTCGACGCTAATTGAACGATGACGAACAGATAGGCGAAGATGGAACCGGCCAACTGAAAATTGACAAATTCAGTTTCGAGAAACGTTGAAACGGTTGACTCGCGTCACACGATAAAACGAACGTACGCTCGGAAGAAAGGAACGATCGAAGTCGACGAGTCCGCATACGGAGAACACCAACGGTGTTTGCAGTACTTGCTGGGTGAAATTTTGGACCTGTAAACGAGATCCAATTTACAATCGAATTAATAAGAGAACAATGGAATATGGTTTACCTCGGCGCGAAATTTCGTGGTGGTCGACGAGTCGTACAATCGACAAAGAAGGAATCCCGCAGCTTTCGCCTGGAACAAAGTTATCGGTGATATAAATAAAACAATAATGGCGCTATTATTATTGATTTACCTCGTTGGTCGTGTGGATACAGTTGCCGTGTAAATGTACTATCCGCATCCAGATCACGAATATGACAATTAACGCGGGGAAACCGTCGAAAAGTACGTCTTCCTTGGGCAGATGATTCCATATCATAAAGTTGAGCATGAACAATGGTATAATGAGTAACATGAGCTCGACCAATGTAACCAGGACTAGCTGAAATCCGTAGAACTTGTTCACCCTCTTCGCGGCCCAGACCAAGTCCAGATGACATTTTCTGCGCGCGACAACAATTGACATCGATTATATAATAATATTATATATAATAATATTGTATAATAATATTATATAATAATATTGTATAATAATATTATATAATAATATTGTATAATAATATTATATATTATTATATATATATTATTTATATGATATTAATATATTGTTATTATATTAATATATTATATAATAATACGTGAATGTGTAATATAATATAATATAATATATAATATGTCGTCCCAGCTCATCAGAGTTGATTGACCAACCGGTCTCTTACTTTGCTATCATAATTTTTTGCACGTTCCCTCGCAGATCGTTCCGGGTTTCCCTTTCGATCAAGCGATCATCGGCTTCCCCGAGAAATCGTCTAGGCTTCGGAAGATCAAGCGCCTCGATCATCGCCTCCAATAATTTATTCACTTGTCTGAACTTCACACCGATATATCTGTTCTCGGAGACGCAATCCATGTGTTTCGAATTTGGATAAAGAAGCGATATTCGACAAAGACAACGAAATTGTAGCCTCGAAAAATTTTCGATAATAATCGACCAACTTTGACTGACGATAACTCCGCGAAAAATGATCGTAGGATGACGAAATTTCTGTTAAATTAAAGCTTGAAGCCTTTACTTTAAGACATTCTCCCTGGATTTTCAGTTCGATACACTCTTACTATTCTAACCATTTAAATGTAAGACTATGTTTATCACGTTGAAGATCGTTTGACCAAGTTTGACGATACTCACGGACCACGACAAATTTTTCTCGGGGATGCCGTTTCCGTTGAAATAAAGTTTGATCCTTCCCCTTCAATTAAAAAAAAATCGAACGAAGCTGCGATTTTTTCTCGCGAAGTTACAGCGCTTTGAAGTAACCATTGCATTTTTGTCATGTATCGTGAATGCGACGAACATGGCCTCGCATCCGAACGGTTACTATGGCGAGGGTGCATCGAACTTCGAATCCAGAAACATTGTCTTAAAGTAGAAGCTTCGAGCTTTAATTCGAAGAAAGAGTCATCATCCTGCGGTAATTTTTCGCGGGGTTGTCGTCGCCCAAAGTTGGCCAATTTTTGTCCTGAAGTTCTCCGAGTGGTATGCTTTTTTACCTGACCCAGATGATGAAAGAGAGTTGCACTGCCATAGTCATGTTGTGCGGCAAGCTGCTGCCGAGGCTAATAAGAATTTTTTGTCTCGTCGGTGCTGTTGGTTTGATTCTAAAAAACCACGTTATCAACACGTTTAACGTGAAATGCGATACGAATATCAGGAGAATGCACGTTTGACGCTTGTACTGGGCCCAATGCTGCTTTCGCAGTCCGATTGTCTCCATCTCATCGTCGATTTTTTCCACGACATCGATGATATCCTGCATGTTCTGCTCGCAGGAGGCAAGCAAAATGATCGTTTATTAAGTTACATCGACAAATTATTCCGCAATTATTTAACGTATTAATTCGAATTATTAATGCTTCTGCAAATCGTATTTTGATACTTATTTAAGCGATTAATTGCTTTAATATGTACGTATCTGAATGCTGAAATTATTCTGCAGGCTTATCGAACAATAAACTATTAAATGAATAATATAAATAAACATTAATTATTACAAATAATATATTATATATATTATATAATAATAATATATTATAATATACTACTAATATACTATATATATACTATACTACTATATTATATATATATACTATATACTATACTATATATACTACTAATATAATATACTAATATACTACTACTATATAATAATATATTATAAATAAACATTAAACTGTTAAATTAATTTCTACGTACTTTCCTCTTAAATTTCGTTGCGATTATAAGTATTATAATCGAACCGTAGACGGTTATCAAGCCTGAAATAGTGATCTGAATATTGGCATCCATTCTCGATGGCTGGAAGGAGTCCATGTAGCAGTATTCCACGTAAACGGACCAATAAACGAATATCGCGAAGTTGATCAGCATGTTCACGATGTCCACGATTCTGTTCACTCTTTTGTTCTTGAAAGGAGCGAGAGAACCGGTGCCGATCACAACGTTCAATAACAGAATCGGCCGAATAGTCTCGCCGAACGTTTTCAGTTCGAACATTTTTTTCGACGTTCACGTTTTTCCATTCGAAACGAAACCGACGACGCTCCACGCAACACTGTACACTTTTTCGACTATTCCGTTGTTCCGACTACGACGATCGTCCTGTCGCAATTCCCGCGATTAATAGTCCGCTAAGTAATGAAACTGCGTGCAAATTAATGACTTTAATGTTTATCGAGTAGGCTTGTCGCGGTGAAAAAGAAAACGTTAACCGTTAACGGCTATAACGTGTCGCAGAAGTCCGTCAACGTTTTGACGTTAACGTTTTAATAGCTCGCAACGATTAGTATAGAATTCGCGATGTCTGACGTGTAGCAGACCTCGACTACTTAGGATTTGTGGGCGAACGAAGAATTTCATTCGAGTCGCGTTCGAATTCCGTGACGCTTTTTTAAGAGTGCGCTGTTCAAAATGTGGCAATTTCTATGGCAAACGAGTTATTGGAAAACGTTTAATAAATATTTCATAGAAAATAGAATGAAGCTTGACATTGAAGAATTTCGTGCCGGTATTTGTACTCGCAGCGTTTCATTGTCATTAGCAATCCCTAATGGTGTTTGGGTCGATTACGCATCGTGAACGTCGTCATGACAATTGTGTTTCTTTGTAATTTGCTGCGATCGAGTGAAAAAGTAGGTGACATTGAAAAGCGCAGTGTGCGACGTGTGCTAAATGAATGAGATTTCTCAGCATCGAATCATCCTGACGGTATTCCAGTTTCTTCCTTATTTGTGAATGCATTGTTATCTGTTTTTTTTGTAAATCGTCCAACTAACTACACACCCACGTGTATTATTTCTTTGTGTTGCTAAGGTAACTTCTTCCATCAGTGAATCGAACTCGGACACAGATCACGTGTTGCTTTATTCGTCGATACAGTTGTCTCATTGAATAACTTATTGCATATTCACAAATCACAGCAATCGATGGGACAATGTTGAATTGAGGGTGTCTGACAAGTCACCGACTTATACTACTGGGTAAATTTTCCTGGATTCAATTTTATTTGTACTTAATTTGCACTTAATTCTTATTCGAATGACTTATTCGAATTGAATTCTTATTCGAATGACTTTCTATTAGAATTGAATTCTTATTCGAATGACTTTCTATTAGAATTGAATTCTTATTCGAACGACGTTGTATTCGAATTGAATTCTCATTTGAACTACATTGTATTCGAATTGAATTCTCATTTGAACTACATTGTATTCGAATTGAATTCTCATTTGAACTACGTTGTATTCGAATTGATTTCTTATTCGGATACCATTGTATTCGAATTGGATTCTTATTCGAATTTTATTTGTACTTCATGTACTTAATAAATTTATATAAAAAATATAACATAAAATAAATAAATAAATAAATAATATATAACTAACATATAAGTATGAATAAATATAAGATATAAATATAAATGAAACAATAAAATATAAATATAAATAAAATATTAAATCATAGTCGAACGCGTTATTAAATGCTTTTGATTCTCTTACTGTTCGAAGTCGCAGAGAATCATGCGAATAAATCGAGGATGCGACTTCAAGCATCGGTTAGGGTCACGTTCGCACTGGTTGTAGCCTCGGATAAGCGACGGCCGATCATGTTTTGCGTTCGCAGTTGCAAAATGACGAACACATAGGTGCAGATCGAACCGAACAACTGGAAAAGTAACGGAGTCATATTTAAAAAAAAAAACTGTCGAATGCGAATGAATTCGATTTGTTATCTCGAAAAGATCGACGTACATTGGCGAGAAACGAACGGTCGAAGTCGACGAGCCCGCAAATGGTGAACACCAACGGGTTTTCCAGTACTTGCTGGGTGAAATTTTGAACCTGCAATCAGAGGGTGTTCGAGTTTGAGAACAAGAACGATCATGCTCGCGCGGGAATCACGCGCCCATTGTTTACCTCGGCGCGGAATTTCTCGCCGGTTGACGAATCGTACAACAGGCAAAGAAGATATCCCGTTTTTCTCGCCTGTAACGTAACCGTGTAACAGAAATTAGAAACTCTGTAATTTGTAAAGATGAAACTAACGCGGGATTCACCTCGTCGCTCGTCTTCCTGCACTTGCTGTGCAGATGAATCACTCTTACGCAGTCCAACGACAGCACCGTTAAGCCCGAGCAAATTTCCAAAAGGGAAGCGTCCGCGCTTGATTGGCGCAGCAGCAAGCAATTCAGTATGAACAATACGTACAGAATTGTCATAAACGAGATGGACGTCGACGCGAGAACGTGAATTCCGTAAAATCTGTTCACTCGCCTGGCGATCTTGATCCAGTCCAGGTGATATTTCCTTCGTCGAACGAGATCAATTTAAGTAATGATTAAGTAACCAGATAAATTAATATTTTTGGTTTATTATAATTAGGTGGAATATCATAATAACAGTAGAATTCTCCGTTCGTTCCTTTCCTTCAGCTTGCAAGCAAAAATGGACAATTTGGGAAGAAGAGATACGATTATTATTATTATTATTCGATACTCAATTGCTTTGCAATTGGTTCTTATAATTATTGGCAATTGGAAATTATAAAAATTGACGGCTAGACTCGAATAATCGTATCGTCTCTTACCGAATTGAAAATTACAAGTTGAAGGAGAATTTGCTGTACTTAATAGCTTGGAAAACTTTATTTTATTTATTATTATTTTATTTATATTATTTACTTCATTACCATGCTTACTTATTTACTTGATTTACCACACTTAATTGCTTACTTTAGTTGCTACTTTAGTTGCTACTTTAGTTGCTACTTTAATTGCTACTTTAATTGCTAATTGCTACTTTAGTCACCATACTTACTTACTTACTTACATTTTTTATCACACTCCACTTACTTCACTTTCGCAATTATCTGCACGTTGCCTCTGAGTTCGTGCCGGCCACTTCTCCTCCGAATCGGACATCCGCCGATCATCTCACGCAATCGTTCGGACTTCGGTGCGTCAAGCACGTCGATCATCTCCGCCAGTAAGCAGTTCAACTGATACAACTTCGTTCGAACGTATCTAAACGATCAATTAACAGCTTGCGCGTTCGTTAAAATGTTACACGATAATATCGAGAGGGCGAATCTCGCGTACCTGATCCAAACGCAGAAGCTCAGGTGGCCCATCAGGCTCAGTATCGAAACCAAATTCAACGAAACGCTGAGGAAAACATGTGCCTGGATTGATATGTTCGGCTTGAAGTCGGATATCCACGTGATCGTGACGTATAAAAATACGTACACCAGGAACAAGACGAAATTAATCATTTGATATTTGTACTGCGACGAATATTGCTTCGGTAATCCGATCGTCGCCATTTGCTCGTCGACGTTTTCTATCGTCTCGATCAGATCGTGCACATTCTGCAACAGGCGAGACTGTATTTTTTGTTGTTGTGAAAGCGGTAAGATCGAAATCACACGTGACAAAATTTTTTCGATTCGCCATGATCGAAGTTGTGAGCTTATGGGGAATTCGTTCGATAAACATGTGCCAATGCAATATCATATATATATATATATATATATATATATATATATATATATATATGTACATGTTCAGACTTTTAGCCATTTTTTATTGTAATGTATGATGCATATTAAATATGAAAAAAAATATATTATATAATATAATATAATTATAAATAATATTATAGTAATGCTATTAATATTAATATACCAATATATAAATATAAATATAAATATTATATTTATATAATAAATATAATATTATTATTATAATATTATAAATATTATTATACTAATAAATATAATATTATTATTATAATATTATATATATTATTATACTAATATGATAAATATTATAAATAATATGAAAAAGATATGAATATAAACATGAATATATAAAATATATCTGTAAGTATAAGTATACTTACTTACTAAGTATACTTAAGAATATAGTATAAGTATAAGTATAAGTCTATATATATAAGTGTATATAAAAGTATATACATAAAAGTCTGAACATACGTATTCTCGTTACTCTCGCGAGGTACCATAAACTACCTGCTGTCAGAGTGTTCCGCAAAAGCAATTGTCGCAAGCCACGTACCTCGTCGCCGAATTTAGTCGCAACAATTAAGAGCAGAACGACGATGCACGTGCACGAAAACCACACGGTGAGAAACACAAGATTGAGGTCCACTTTCGGCGGCAGCATGTACATGGCGCTCAAACGATACTGATAGAAGATCGTGCAGGCCAACGCGGAGATCGCGACGAGAAAATAAACGATCTTCACCGATCTCTTCGCTCCGCGTTTCCTGACGTGCCCGATGCAACCGACGCCGAACAGAACGTTCGCCAACAGAATCGGTCCGATGGTCTCGCCGAACGTTTTCGGCCGGAGCATATTTGCTCGACGTTCTCGATTCACAAACGGAAACGAAGTTGACGACGTTCGATACCGCACTGTCCTTTCTTTCCCTTCTTTCCGACACCGTCGCCGCAACAGCGACCGATCGCGTTTTGTCGCGACGCTCGGAATTAATAGTTCGCTAAGTAATGAAACCGACGATAACAGAGACCGCGACGTTTAATGTCTTCGCGCGGCCGTGTTATTACGTAGACGCTAATGCGAATAGAGCCAGGGCGTCGTAACAGCCGTTTGACCGACTATCGCCGGCTGATTCTACTCGTTTCAGTTTCGATATCTGCTTCTGCTTGCTTCGACCTGGATCGGCTTTTGTTTGTCGTAATTTAGACAGAATTTTCTCTCGATTTCGAGTAATTCGGATAAATTTCTGTTATACTTGTCTTAATTCGGATAAACTGCTAATTGTCGTAATTCAGAGAAATTTCTACTCTTGCCCGAATTTAGAGAAACTTCTACTTCTCTTAATTTGGAGATGCTTCTGCGCGTGTTTTAATTTAGATGAATGCTCTGCTACTTTTAATTTGGATAAAGTCATATTTGCTTTAATATGAATAAACTTATACTTGTGCTAAATCAGATGAACGCTGACAAATATAATGTGTATTGCGTGTAGCAAGTAGAATTACAATAAATTCTGCCTAATTTTCCTTCGGCTTGTAAACCAAAATGAAGAATTTGGGAAGAGGAGAACGATTATTCGAGTCTTGCACCTCGTTTTTATAATTGTATATACAGTAATAATGGTATCTTCTCTTCTCGAATTGTCCATTTTTGTTCACAAGTTGAAGCAAAATTATAGAGAATTTTCTGAAGGTCTTAGAAAAAGTCTTTCAACCTATTTATCAAATATTTTTACGAAGGGTCCGACGTCGAGGCAGCAAATTAGCGGTAATTCGGGCGCACGTTAAAAGCCTGCATTACGATCGTTTTATCGTAGCGCGGCACCCCTAATGACGCTTGTCACGACCGGCAATTTAAAGTGACCAATTTAGAGTGGAGAAACGCATTAACGGATTGAGTCACAGACATGCCCGCCTTAATAAGTGGCAAAATTGCTGCCGCCTTCGTGGACAGTTACAAATTGCTTCGGACCAGAGTCGTGCAAACATCCTTCTCGTCTACAACTCCTAATCTGATTAACCTTTTGCACTCGAGCGGCGACTCTGAGACACCGCTAAAATTTCGTTACGTCACGTTCCAAGATAACGTTCGTGTATCGTCAATGTTTAGAGTTTAAAAAAAAAACTGTTCAGAGCGTGACTGTTGCACGAGTCGGAAAATTCGATTTCGTATGGATTAATAAGGGATAATTTGTAAGGGATGATTATAATTCGAAGGCAATTCGGAGGCCACATGCCACGATTCGAAGGCAATTCGGAGGCCATAAGGCAACATTCGAAGGAAATTCGGAGGCCACAAGGCAACATTCGAAGGCAATTCGGAGGCCACATGACAGGATTCGAAGGTAATTCAAAGACAATTCGAAGGCAATTCGAAGGCAATTCGAAGGCAATTCGAAGGTAATTCGAAGGCAATTCGAAGGTAATTCGCATGCCATGTGATACGATTCGAAGGCAATTTGGAAGCCACATGACAGGATTCGAAGATAATTCAAAGGCAATTTGAAGGTAATTCGAAAGCAATTTGGAGACCACATACAATTCGAAGGCAATTCAAGGGCAACAGGCCGCAATTCGAAGGCAATTCGGAGGCCACATGCCACGTTCAAAGGCAATTCGAAAGCAATTCGGAGGAAATTCGGAGGCCACAAGGCAAGATTCGAAGGCAATTCGGAGGCCACATGCCAGGATTCGAAGATAATTCAAAGACAATTCGAAGGTAATTCGAAGGCAATTCGAAGGCAATTCGAAGGCCAAATGTCACAATTCGAAGACAATTCGTAGGCCACGTGCCACGATTCGAAGACAAACAGACCATTTTGCATAGTCTTCGAGGAATTCGCGTCGCATCGCACGCTCGACCGACTCCGTCCCAGCATCGGCGTAGCAATAAATTACACAGGCGCAGGACCATCACAGAGCAATTCACAGCAACCCAAAATTTAGCATATTCCATAAGCAATTATTATACTCGCATCCTTGCAATGCGAGGCGAACCGCGAGAATACGTTTCGAGAGGTAAAAAATTCTCGTCGCGAAGGAACGTCGTGGAATCGGAAGCCGTCGTTGGACGTCGGGCAAAACAGTATCCGCGTCGAATCGATCGGGCTCTCGAGAGCGCGGAGGAACAATCTCTCCTCTGGCATTCATAAAGAACAAAACCGGGGGCGGTCGTCGCGCAGGAATTCCCATCGACATTTTTATTCACTCGGTAATACGTTCGGCTCGCGTATCTCCGCGCACGATGGCCATCGGCGAGCGAATAGCTAGCGCGAGCGTGCGCGCGCGCGTTAAAAAACCGTCGGCTATGGGGGTGGCTGGCTGGCTGGCTGGGAAATGTATGAAGGCGCAGGAAACGGGTTCGAATCGTTGAATGTCCCCCGTCGAAAAGGGACGTGAATTTATTGCATGCCGGTCGCTTCGCCGGGGTCGGAGGCCGAGCTCTCTCCGGCCAGGGGCGAGGGGTGGGTGGGTGGGTGCGGAACGCGGAATCGGGAAAGCAATCGTCGACGGAAGTCGAACGAACCGGGGTGGCCCCGGGGGCGTGTCCGCGTGTCGCTTATTATACTTTCTTATTATTTATCGGGCCCCATAAATATTCCCGGCTCGAATGGAGTCGGCCAGGAGACGGTCGATTTATGGAGGTCGCGAATTAGTGTCATCCGCCGCGGTATTTTTCACCGGCATATTAATCCGGACACACTTACACCAGTCCCGTCGGCCCGACGGGATCCAGTCCGGCGCGAGCGCGGGGGAGGAGGCGGCTCCCCGGAATCCATTAGCGGCGATCACTTTTCCCTGAATTCGATTCCGTCCGCGGCTGCGTCGGTGGTTCCGCCTCGATCGCGGGCTGATCCTTTCCTCGATTGCCAGTTTTATGCATTACGCGACTTATCGGATCCGCCGGGACTCTCGGTTCGGCCGAACAGTTGATGAATTTTGATCGGCCGGCCGATCGGGCCTCGATCATTTCTTCTCGGCCCGTTCCGTCTCGAACAGTTTTCGAACGCGAAGAAATTGCTGTTCTCGTTCGACGGTCGGTGTACGAATTACGCTTTTTTTTTAGATGGAATATATTCGCTGTGGTTTTCCTGTAAATTTCTTCTAAACGAAAATGGTCAATTTGGGAAGAGGAGATTTATTATAGAGATTTATTACAGGGATAATTATTCGAGGCTCGTCTGCTCATTTCTATAGTTGCCGGTTGTCAGCGATTATAAAAACGAGGCGCACGGCTCGCATAATCAATCTTGACACAGAGCATTTAAATCGTTTGCTTAATTACTCAATTTTCGACAATGAAGTCGATTAAATTGTTGTTAACAATTAGGCTATAACAACGAAAGAAAGAAAGACTGATAAGTCTGCAAGAAGTATGTCGAAAAATATGTTCGAAAAAATTGCCGAATTGAGCTCAGAATCATTGGAAACATCATTAATGCGTAACACTAATTTTTCACCAATTATGAAAATTCATTTCCATTGCAATATATTCGAACAATCCGAATTTCACTAGGATATTCCGGATGTCAAAAAGTTCTAATATCATCCACCACGATAAACATTAACCTTCTAGTTTCGGTTCAATTAATTAAATCGCTTCGACATCGTGGTAAGTTTTCGGGCCGATCTCTCGGTATCGGAAGGAAACCGACAATCGTTAATCCTAGAAAGATAACCATATGACAACGTACGTAAAAGATAACCATACGCTTCAGAGGCGCATGCTTTTCTAAGGCGTCAATTTTATACTAACAATGGATATTTATTTAAGTTAATCTAGTCATTTTAAAGGTTTGGCATTATTGTAAAAATAAAATGCATTTATATTATATTTTTTTATATTTTAAGTAATTTTAAACTTAAATCACTAGACCTCTATGAAAAATTAACAAAAATCAACAGTCTTCGCAGGCGCCTCTGCGACGTAGGTTATCTTTCTCGGGTTAAAGAAGGAGAATTTTCATCGAATTTGCCACGAATTCCCGCGAGCAATTCTTCGGCCGGAATCGGCCAGAAACTCGACGCCATAGTTAGGCGAAACGAGCATGTGCAGCGAACGCGTCTACTCGGATCGCATCCAGCCCTATCACCCAGTTTCCCGGCACTAATTTATCAACGAGNACAATTAGGCTATAACAACGAAAGAAAGAAAGACTGATAAGTCTGCAAGAAGTATGTCGAAAAATATGTTCGAAAAAATTGCCGAATTGAGCTCAGAATCATTGGAAACATCATTAATGCGTAACACTAATTTTTCACCAATTATGAAAATTCATTTCCATTGCAATATATTCGAACAATCCGAATTTCACTAGGATATTCCGGATGTCAAAAAGTTCTAATATCATCCACCACGATAAACATTAACCTTCTAGTTTCGGTTCAATTAATTAAATCGCTTCGACATCGTGGTAAGTTTTCGGGCCGATCTCTCGGTATCGGAAGGAAACCGACAATCGTTAATCCTAGAAAGATAACCATATGACAACGTACGTAAAAGATAACCATACGCTTCAGAGGCGCATGCTTTTCTAAGGCGTCAATTTTATACTAACAATGGATATTTATTTAAGTTAATCTAGTCATTTTAAAGGTTTGGCATTATTGTAAAAATAAAATGCATTTATATTATATTTTTTTATATTTTAAGTAATTTTAAACTTAAATCACTAGACCTCTATGAAAAATTAACAAAAATCAACAGTCTTCGCAGGCGCCTCTGCGACGTAGGTTATCTTTCTCGGGTTAAAGAAGGAGAATTTTCATCGAATTTGCCACGAATTCCCGCGAGCAATTCTTCGGCCGGAATCGGCCAGAAACTCGACGCCATAGTTAGGCGAAACGAGCATGTGC